TTGTTTTTTAATTTTTAATTTTTTTTTTTTTTCGCAATGAAAACTTTACTGTGGAAAAAATGACTTGGGGTCGTTTTTTTTTTTTTTCGCAATGAAAACTTTACTGTGGAAATAATGACTTGAGGTCGTTTTTCTTTTCTTTTCTTCTTCTTTTTCCTCTTAGAACGTTGTGCCCACCCCGGTGAAGATCAGTTTGATCAACATGCTGTCAGAGACGGGGCTGCAGGTCATAGAGGCCACCAGCTTTGTGTCCCCCAAGTGGGTCCCTCAGGTCGGTGTTCCAGCTGGATTTACAGTGTTACAACAGTAACCCAGTGACTCTGCTCGCTCCAAACCCTTCATTGCTGGGCAAGAACCAGTTGCAATACTCCAGACTTCCCCTTTGGACCCTGGGGAAGGGCAGAGGGACAGCTGGTTGTGCACATCAGCCTGGCTGAGTGACCTCTGATCCCTCCCAGTGTGCAGTGTTTGCTCTCAGAGGCCCATTTCTCTCAGCCCTAAACACTTCTGTTCCCATTACAAAAAGGCATTTGAAGGATTGTTTTCTGGGTTGGCTGTTGCCCCTGTTACAGAGCTCTGCTGGTTTCTTTGCAGATGGCTGATCACACCGAGGTCATGCAGGGCATCAATAAGGTGCCTGGGATCAGTTACCCTGTGCTGACCCCCAACCTGAAGGGATTCCAGGCAGCGGTAAGGGCTGGCAGCACCTCAACAGCCACGTGTTTGTCTTGCTTTCAGTCCCCTCTGGTGTCCCACAGCTCTCCTGACAGCTCCCAGCAGCTGCAGCTTTGCTGCTGCACCTGTAACTTTGCACTTTTGGAGGCAAACTTGGATGTGTCGTGGTGGTTCTGCTGTGGAACAAACTTTGGGGAGGAACTGGGTTATTTGGGGAAAAAGTACTTCTACAGAGTGAGAGAACTGTAGTTATAGATCATGGAACATCACAGAGTCATTGAGGTTGGAGAAGACCTCCAAGATCATCAGGTCCAGCCTTAAAGTCTAAATAATCAGGGCAGTTTTATTTAGGAACAGAAAAGTTTCTGTAAAGGGAAGTGTTTCATGGGGCTGGTTTGAAACTTCTCTACCAAGAGAGGCCCTTGAAACGCTTGAATTAACACTTGGCCATGAAATGACTTGAATTGAACTCCTGAAATCACTTGAATTGAGTCATGGCTGAGCTTGTCATTTCCCACGCAAGAAAAACCACCCAGCTTGGATTTAAAAACTGGCAGTGCTGGGCTGAGGGTTGGACTTGCTGCTCTCAGAGGTCTTTTCCAGCTCTAATGGTTCTGTGATTTATGGTGTTTATTTGCAGGTGGCTGCAGGGGCCAAGGAAGTGTCGATCTTTGGAGCAGCGTCCGAGCTGTTCACGAAGAAGAACATCAACTGTTCCATAGAGGAGAGCCTGGAGAGGTTCAGCGAGGTGATGGCAGCAGCAAGGGCAGCCAGCATTCCTGTCAGGGGGTAAGGAATTCCTGCAGCCAGCATTCCCACTCAGGGGTGAGGAATTCCTGCAGCCACCTTGGCATTGAGCAGGAGATGTGGCTGCTGGAGTTTATCCCTTTGGAGCCCAGCCCACGCAGCACTGAGGAGTGGGATTTCTTTACAACTTCTTTTTTTTGGGATGTCTCTGCCTGGATTTTTGTGAGCTCAGGGCATGGAGGAGCTTTAGTTTGGACCACACTCAAGGTTTCAGCTGCTGCCTTGGTGCAAAGCCTGTTCTGCTCAGGACAGTCCACGCTCCTCCAGTTGGATTCACCCACCGTGTGGTTATTCTGTTGTCAGAAGGATCCAGAATAACAAGTTTCTTGGCAGACATTCCACATGGAAGTGCAAAGATCACAATCCCAGGAATGCTGCCTGCTCTTGTCTTGGCAGATTTTTCATGTCCGTGGAAGAAGGAATTGTTGAGCAGTTAATTCTGTAATTGTTGAGCAGTTAATTCTGTAATTGTTCAGTAATTAATTCCGTAAGATTTGGCCACTGAACTTTTGGAACATGAAACTAATTCTTCCATCATAAAGACACGCAAGATGCGCTAAGTCCTGACTGATTTGGCCAGCTGAATGTCCTTGCCATTTTTCTAGCTGAAAAGTGTGTGCTTTTCTTAACCACAGATACGTTTCCTGTGTCCTTGGATGTCCCTACGAAGGGAAGATTTCTGCAGCTAAAGTTGCAGAGGTGAGTTTAACACAGATACAACCAGAATTTCCGAGAAAGTTTTTGGCTCATTTTTAGGGATATGAGTTGGGCACTGGGGCTGGGGGGGTGTCAAACCATTTAGCCAAAGCCTGGGAAAGGGAAGGCTGGGAAAGGTTCCAGCCACCACAGGGAGGGGAGGCTGAGTCCAGCTGAAGTGCACAGGGGAATTCAGGGAGGTTTGGGCACCTGGAGGTTTTCAGTCCCACAGAAGAGTCTCGTGGCTGCTCCGGGGCATCACACACCGATCCCTGTGTGCAGCTCTGGGGAGGGGGGTGATGTACTTCCCAGGGCACATCCTGGCTTTTGGACAGGTCTCCAAGAAGATGTACTCCATGGGATGCTACGAGATCTCCCTGGGGGACACCATCGGCGTGGGCACCCCCGGGAGCATGAAGGAGATGCTGACCATGGTGATGAAGGAGGTGCCCGTGGGGGCTCTGGCTGTTCACTGCCACGACACCTATGGACAGGCCCTGGCCAACATCCTGGTGGCCCTCCAGGTAGGATCCTTCCTTTGGATCACAGACTCATGGGGTGGTTTGGGCTGGCAGGGACCTTAAATCCCATCTCGTTTCCCCTGGGCGGGGACACCTCCCACTAGCCCAGGGTGCTCCGACCTGGCCTTGGACCCTTCCAGGGGTGGGGCGTCCACACAAATAAAGCATCTTCCTTTGGGTTTGTTGGTTTTTTTGCTTGTGAATGGAAGCTCTGAGGGGCAGGAGGTTGTGCTGGCAGAGCAGTCACGCCTGGCTGTGGTGTGGGTTCCTCTGCAGATGGGGGTGAGCGTGGTGGACGCGTCCGTCGCCGGCCTCGGGGGCTGCCCCTACGCCCAGGGAGCGTCGGGGAACGTGGCCACGGAGGACCTGGTGTACATGCTGAACGGGCTGGGCATCCACACGGTGAGTGGGGCAGCCCCTGCTTCCCCCTCCTGCTCCAGGGCTCTGCTCAGGCCCCAGCAGGGCTCAGGGTTCGGCCCAAGGAGCCTGAGCATGGGGAGAGTCACACTGGGTCTGTGTGTGGGGGGTTGTCCTTCCACACCAATCCCACCCCCTCTGCTGGGAGCATTCCCTCCTCTTGGGATTGTTCAGCCTTGGGGTGACCTAATTGTGGCCTTCCTGAAGGGAGCCCACAGAAAAGGTGGAGAGAGACTATCTTGTAAATAGTCTGTCCCTGGAGGGACAGGACACAGGGAATGGCTTCACACTGACAGAGGGATGTTGGACATTAGATGGGATATTGGGGAGAAATCCTTCCCTGTGAGGGTGGGGAGGCCCTGGCACAGTTTCCCAGAGAAGCTGTGGCTGCCCCATCCCTGGAAGTGTCCAAGGCCAGGTTGGAGCAGCCTGGGATAGTGGAAGGTGTCCCTGCCCATGGCAGAGGTGGAGTGAGATGAGCTTTAAGGTCCCTCCCAACCCAGACCACTCTGGGATTCTCTCCCACATCACACCCTGGGATCTGACCCTTGCTGTCAGTGAGGCTGCATTAAAGTTCCCTCCAAAGGCTGCCTCGCTCCCTGGTAGTCTGTCCCAGTGATCCCAGTTGTTACTGGGCAGCTGTACCCAGCAGAAGCAGTGCCAAGGCCGTGCTGTGCTTCCCCCGTGCAGGGTGTGGATCTGCAGAAGCTCATGGACACGGGAACCTTCATCTGCAACGCTCTCAACCGAAGAACCAACTCCAAGGTGTCCCAGGCATCCTGCAGACTGTGACCCTGAGGGGAGTTTCTCCCTGGATTGAGAAGAAAGCGAGGATCTGGCACTGCCTGGAATTCCTCTCTGATCTCCAGTGCTCCTTCCTGGCTCAGCACTTGAGAGGAAACTCATAATCCACCAGAATTTATGAAGAAATGAGGGAAACGAGAATATTAGATTTGACCTTGAGGATGTCACCATTTGCCTTAGGGAAGGGAAGATGTGGATGGGCTCTGGTCAGACCAGCATCCACTGACTCCTGCCTTGAGCCTTAGGCCACCAGCCAGGGATAATCCACAGTTTTTCCAGTTGGAGCACTTCTCCAGGTCGGGCTTTGCCCTTCCCTTCTCACTACAAATGTTAAGCCTGAGTCAAAAGCCTCTGAATGTCCTGGGGCAGCCTTGGACAGTCTTACAGGGACTGTGGCAAAGGACAGTGTATCTGTTGTAAGATACCTTTAAACACTAGGATAAGAAACATTATTTAACATTCTGAACAAATCACGTTTCTAATAAACTGAACCAGTTAAAGCTGCTGCTTCAGTTCCAAGTGCCTCCTCCACGTGGAAACACAACATCATCTGGGGCGTGGCAGAGAGTGTGAAACACCCCCTGCTCCTCACAGGTCACGGGGAACACCCCCCGCCCAAATCTATTTAAAATAATTTATTTTAACAGTTTATTTGCGAGGCGGGAGCCTCGTCCTTCTTTCGGGTGGGGTTCGCCTTTCTCTGCGTACGGCACCGTCTCTCCACATCCCTTCGATGAACTGTAGCAATTAAATAAACGTTCAACAATAACCGTCTCTGAAATGGGGTGGAATCGGGCCAATAAACGGGGATTTTGGGGAGGGCGCAGTTCCCTCCTCCCGCCGCCGGGCGCCGCCGTCCCTCGGGGTGTTTTGTCCGCGCCGGGTTCCCGTAGCGGGGACACGTTTCCATGGAGGGGCCTTAAAGGGGCCGCGCCCGCGGGCGGAGCGGGAGCGGAGGGTGAGTGACTGAGGGGAATGGGAGTTGGAATGGGGACGGGAAGGGGAATGGGAGGACAGATGTGCTGCCCCGTTCGGCCCTGCCTTCCTGTAGCAGGGAGAGCTCAAAACCCCGGCGCCCGGGAAAATTCCAGCCCCTGGGATACCCCTGGGGTAAATCCGGCCCCCTGGGATAGCACAGGAGCCCTTGGAGTGATCCGGCCCCTGCAGTAATTCCAGCCCCCGGGGTAATTCCAGCCCCTGGGATGTCCTCGGACCCCTGGGGTAATTCCAGCCCCTGGATATACCCCCAGGACCGCAGGGTATCTCCAGCCAGGGGTAATTCCAGCCCCTGGGATACCCCAGGACCCCTAGGATACATCCAGCCCCCGGGGTAATTCCAGCCCCCGGGGCACGTTCGGCCCCAGGGACCCCCAGGAAGGCCCTGTCCCATCCCCAGGGGAGCCCCCCGGGATCCCCTGAGCCCCCCCGGGCACCCCCGACCGGCCCTGCCCGTGCCCCGGTCCCACCCCCGTATCCTCCCCCGCGCTGAAATCCGCCTTATTCTCCCTCCCCAGGGGCTGTTCCCCCCCGGCACTGCCCTCCCAGCATTTGGGGGGCTCGGGGTGGAACCTCTCCCTGTGCTGGTCCCACATCCCGGTAACGCGGCGGGTCCTTCCCTCCGGGCGTGGAACAGGAGCTGCTGCTCCTTCCCGGGAGCTCCCGGGTCCCACAGAGATCCCCGCAGTGTCCTGGGAAGCGGGGGTGGAACGGGGCCAGCACTGGGAAGGGCGGCTGGGACCGCCATGAAGGGGGGACTCCAGAGCTGCAGGAAAACCAGGGAATGGGTGGGGAAAGGGCAGAGCCGAGCCCCCTGTGGAGACCACCCGAATTCATCCCAACTCCCTGCCCCTGTGCTTTGGGGTGAACCCCGAGGGGTCTGTGCTGTGGGATACGGGAGAGAGCGGGATCTCACCGGAAGGACGAGGGCTTTTCCCGGGCTGTGGCAGTGCCAGACCCACCCTCCGTGTCCGGGAGGTGTGCCCGCGCTGGCAGGTCGCGCTCCAGCCCATCCCTGTCCCCGGGAGAGCTGCAGGAAGTGCCGGAGCGCTGCTGACGTGACAGTGCCCCAGCTGTGCCCGTTCCAGGCCGCCCCACACGGAGCTGAAGGATTTTCCTGCCCCAGGGAGAGCCATGGCCGAGAAGATCCTGGTGACGGGCGGCGCTGGGTACATCGGCAGCCACTGCGTGCTGGAGCTGCTGGAGGCTGGATACGTCCCCGTGGTCATTGACAACTTCCACAACGCCATCCGAGGTACGGAGGAGCCTCATCCCTCCCCGGGCTGTGCCGGGACCTCCAGAAATCCCAGCTCCTCACTCCCCTCCATCCCCCAGGGTCGGACGCGCTCCCCGAGAGCCTCCGGCGGGTGGAGCAGATCGCGCACCGGCCCGTCCTCTTCCAGGAGCTGGATATCACCGATGGGGCCGCGCTCCAGGAGCTCTTCAGGAAGGTGAGAGCAGGAGCTGCGGTGCCCGAGGTGGCTCCCGGGGGGGGCGAAGTGGGAACCGGGGGAAGAAGGGCAGCGCTGAGGAAACCCCTGTTCCTGCGGGGCCTGGAGCTCCCCCCGGGGGGGTGAATGGCGCTCCTGGGGGGAATCCCGGCTGGTTCCTGCCCGGAGATCCCATGTCCTGTCGCTGTTCCCCCCCCTCCTGTGCAGCACCAGTTCTCGGCCGTGCTGCACCTTGCGGGGCTGAAGGCAGTGGGGGAGTCGGTGCAGAAGCCTCTGGAATATTACAGAGTGAACCTCACCGGGACCATCCGGCTGCTGGAGGTGAGAGGGGGTGCCCGGGGTGGTGCTGAGGGGCTGCAGGGGATGCTGGGACCACCATAAAGGGGGGATTTCAGAGCTGCAGGAAAAACGGGGAACGGGTGGAAAAGGGCAGAGATCACCCAAATGAACACTGTGAGAACTCCCTGCCTTGGGGTAGAGCCTGAGGGACCTGTGCTGTGGGATATGGGAGAGACCAGGATCTTGGCTGGGTTTCACAGGAAGAACAAGGGCGTGATCCTGTGCTGAGGTGGCTGAGCTGCTCCATGTGCTGCTCCCACTGCTCCCCATGCCCGGGATGTGGCGGTGCCTGGGCAGGGCTGACCCCCCAGCACAGGGATCTCCCTGGCTCAGTGCTGGCTGTTCCTGCCCCCCAGACCATGCAGGCCCACGGCGTGAAGAACATCGTGTTCAGCAGCTCTGCCACCGTCTACGGGGACCCCAAGTACCTCCCCCTGGACGAGAACCACCCGGTGGGAGGCTGCACCAACCCCTACGGCAAATCCAAGTTCTTCATCGAGGAGATGATCCGGGATCTCTGCAAAGCAGAGCGGGTGAGGGGCTGCCCCGCGGGGCCGGGAGCCAAGGGCTGTTCCCACTGGAGCGAGGGGTGAGCAGGCAGCCCCCCAGGCACCCACCCAGGCAGTGTCTGTGTCCCCCCAGGACTGGAACGCTGTTCTCCTGCGCTACTTCAACCCCATCGGTGCCCACGAGTCGGGGATGATCGGGGAAGATCCTCAGGGGATCCCAAACAACCTCATGCCCTACGTGGCGCAGGTACCGCCCCACTGCAGCCTTTGGGGACCCCTGGGATCATATGGGGGGGGGCACAGGCTGACAGGGCTCCTTGTTCCTCTGTCAGGTGGCAGTGGGACGCCGGGAATTCCTGAGTGTGTTTGGGAACGACTACAAGACAGATGATGGAACAGGTATGGCATGGAAAGGGTGGAGCAGAACTGCCCTGCAGCCCCCCCAGCCTGGGGTCACCCCGGGCACAGGGCTCTGCCCTCACCCTCTGCCTCCCTGCAGGAGTCAGGGATTACATCCACGTCGTGGATTTGGCCAAAGGCCACGTTGCTGCTCTGAAGAAGCTCAAGGAGAACTGTGGCTGCAAGGTGCCCCGGGGGACACTGGGGGCTGCCAGCCCTGGGGGGGCATGGGGGTCCCCAGGGAGATAAAGGCGGGGTTTGGCCCTTGTCTGCTTCCAAAAGCAGCTGATCCATGTCCCTTATCCTCCTGCCAGATCTACAATCTGGGCACAGGCACCGGCTACTCCGTCCTGCAGATGGTCCAGGCCATGGAAAAAGCCTCGGGGAGGGAGGTAAGGTCTGACCTGCAGGGCACAGAACCAGCTGTTCCCAGAGACCTCCCTCGCCCCCCCCAAGCCATCACTGCCACAGCAGCCCCTGGCACTGCCCCCTCAGTGCCCTCTCTGAGCCCCCAGAGCCCACAGAGCTGCTTTCCCTGCAGATCAAGTACAAGGTCACGGCCCGGCGGGAGGGGGACGTGGCCTCCTGCTACGCGGACCCGGCGCTGGCTGAGCGGGAGCTGGGCTGGAAAGCTGCCTTTGGTCTGGACAAGATGTGTAAGGACACCCCCTCCCTGGCACAGGGGGCACTGCCAGGCCTGGCCCACCCTCACCTCCCCTCTCCCCATTCCAGGTGAGGACCTGTGGCGGTGGCAGCTGCAGAATCCCATGGGCTTCAGCAAGAACTGAGCCATGGCCGAGGGCTGGCCGCGCTCGGGGGCTGCTCCAGGCCAGCCCTTCCTGCCTCCCGCGGCCCCAGCGAGGCCATCACCGTCCTGGGAGCAGCTCCAGCTCCCCCTCCTGCCTCTGGCACGGAGCATCCTCAGCCTTCCTCAGCCTCATCCCCCTCAAGTCCTTTGCATCTCACAGAGCAGAACCACAATGGAGAAAAGAGCCAGGGCTTGGTTTGGCTCCCATGGAACCCCCCATGGGAATGTCCAGGGGCTGTGCTTGGCTGGGCCCTGCAGCCACCACTGGAGCTGCTCCTGGGCCCTCCCTGTGCCCTGGGAAGTGGCTGCATCCAGCACTTGGACACTGTGAGTCCTGCTGAGCCCAGACTTGGACACTGTGAGTCCTGCTGAGCCCAGACTGCAGAGGAGGCCCCCCGTTCCCTGCTGCCCCACCTGGCTCTTGGTCTCAGGGGGAGGCACCCACAGCCCCTGCCCTGGGCATGGAGAAGGTGCTGAGCCCCAGGAACACCCCCATTCCCCACTCCCACAGGGACCAGTCACATTCCAAGGCCACCACGGCTCATTTCCCCAGCCCAGGTCTCCAGGGCCAAGGGCTTTGCACATACACACACACACTTTTCCCTGCCCCCAGCATGGTTTTGGGGACCAAATCTCATCCCACGTGCTCCTGCTGAGCCAGAGAAGCCCCTGCCAGGGCTGTGCCAGCCTGGCCTGGTTTATCACCCCACTGGTGCCTGGTTTTGCTTCCATGTTCCCTGTGGCAGCTGCTTCCCAAATCCCGTTGCCAAAGGCTGCCCAGGAGCCTCTCATACTGCTCCTATTTATTCCTGGCAGCTCCAAGGGCTCTGTCAGGCAGGGATGACGCAGTCGGCCCCCTTTGCTGTCGGCTGGATGAATAACTTATGCTTCTAAATTATGAATTGAGCTTTTGATTTGTTTTTAAATAAACTTTCCTACTTTCTAAGTGGCAGCTTTGTTCTGCTTCCCCTCAGCCAGAGCTGCTGCCCCCAAAAATGGCACCTTGGGGCCTCATTCTAACCCGCTCCCCTCCCCAACCCTCCCTTCCCAGAGGTGCTGTTGGGGGTCCTGCCCAGCCAGGAATGAGGCCAGCTCAGCTCCGGGGTAGGTTCAGGATTTATTTAACCTTGTTTCTCTGTGGAACGCACACACACACACACACAAAAAACCCCAAACATGTACAAGGAAGACGAGAGAAGGAAAAAAAAAAAAAAAAAAAAAAAAAAAAAACCCAAAGCTGTATTGAGGAATGGAGAGAAGCCGTTCTCCCTCCTGGGTTCCCAGGTGAGGAGTGAGCAGGAATGCTCTGCAGGAGGGGGCCAAACGAGGCCCCCCAGGGATGGTCCCGGGCCCCCCCATCGCACATGGTTCCAGTTCACAGTCAAACAGGTCGGTCTGTCCATCGCCAGCCCTCGGTACCCCCAGGGAGCTGCACTCCCACCCCAGCCAGCCCTCAGTGATCCACAGGGAGCTGCACTCCCACCCCAGCCAGCCCTCAGTGATCCACAGGGAGCTGCACTCCCACCCCAGCCAGCCCTCAGTGATCCACAGGGAGCTGCACTCCCACCCCAGCCAGCCCTCAGTGATCCACAGGGAGCTGCACTCCCACCCCAGCCAGCCCCCTGTGCCCCCACCCTGGCCCAGCACAGGGAGAGGGGACAGAGCAGTGTTAAAACACAACACAGAAGATCCAGCAGGACTGACCCCCAGGCCAGGACTGACCCCCAGGGCAGGGGCAGTGCCGGGCTCCCCCCAACACCAGCATCAGCTTTGCTGGTTTAAGACTTCCCAAAGGGGAGAAAAAAATTAAAAACCCAACCAAACCCCAAGCCAAGAACCCAACCAAGGGTGGGTCCCACAGATCTAACTCTCCGGAGAGCAGGTTATTGCTTTGGGCATCCCGGGCTGGGGGGCACGGCTGGAGCAGGGCCCCCTCCAGAGTCCCCCACCAGCCCCCAGAGCAGCCCCTGGCCCTGGGGAGCTGCCAGCCCTGGCCCCAGCCCACTGCTGGTCCTGGGGCACCGGGCAGAAGCTCCACAGGGTGAGAGGCTGGGCCCAGACCAGGGGAGAGTGGGGACAGCCCTGGGGCCAGGGGTGGTGTGGGGGGTTCTAAAATACATGATCAGCCCCAGGCCATGGAGGTGTGGGCTCAGCCCGGGGGGGAGGCGAGGGCAGTGCTGCTCCACAGCCACTGCCCTCGGCCCTGCGGGAGGGGAGGGGGGGCCAGGAGCCCACCCAGAGGAGACATTCGGGGCCCTGTCCCGGGGAGCTGCTGGGGACGGTCCTGGCCCCGCACCCAGCACGATGCCAGCACTCAGGAGAGGACAAACCCATGGGCAAGGGACCCCGGGGACCCTGGTGATTGTACACGGTGGGACAAGAGCCCACAGCCCCAGGGAGCAGAGAGACCCCCAGGGAGCACAGAGACCCCCAGGGAGCACAGAGACCCCTGCGCTGCCCACGGGACGGGGCGCAGCAGCACCCAGGCCTCAGACGCTGGTGAGATGATGGCTTGGGGGCAAAGCTGCTTCTTCCAGCTGCGCCAGGAGCCAAACCTGGGGTCCAGGGACATCACCTCTCCCTCCCCAAGCCAGCCCAAGTCCAAAGGAAAGGACAAGTAGCAGCAAGAGAGACATTAAGGACGGGGCCGGCACCGGGCGGCTCCGCCTGTGACTGTAAACGAAGCTTCAGGGCTCTGAGGGCGCAGAGCTGGGCTGGGGATGGGGGGTAGACACCTCTGGGACCCCCACAGGGCCGAGGAGGAGATTGTAAAAGCAACAGGAGGAGGAGGAAGGAGGCGATTATCTGAGGAGGGCAGAGCTGCCCAGGCCGGGGGGAGTGTGCGTGTGCGACAGGCGGGGCCGTGCAGGAGGTGCGGGGGCTGCGCTGACCCTGCCCCGGCCCCGGGCAGCCTTTGGCGGTACCGGCCCAGGGCAGAGCCTGCCCCGGGGCCCGGGGGCATCTGCAGGGGAGTCCCGGGTTCCTGAGCTCTGATTGAAAACCCGTGAGTCACCTGAGGGAAGGCCGAGAGCAGCCCCGGAGGGCACAGCCCGGGCTGGGCCACAGGGGTGCCCCAGCCCTGCCCTGTGCCCGCCCCGCTCCCCCCGCCGCACCCGGGCACGTCCCACCCCTAATACTGGTACAAAAAACCCAAACCCAACAGAAACACCTCCCCCACCCTGTGCCAGCCCCGCACACTGCAGGGGCCGGGGGGACGTGACCCCCACAGAACCCGCTCGGAGCAAGAGGAGGAGAGAAAAGGCCACTCCAAGACTTGCCTTCGACCGCTCCAACCTCGGCTCCGAGAGCAGCAGGGGGAGCCGGGGCACCCCCGGCCCGAGAGGGCGCGGTGAGAGGCGGCGGGGGCAGGTGGGGTCCGGGGGTGCGGCGGGAGGTGCAGTGGGGGGCCATGGCTTCCGTTTGCAGCAGGCGGGTCACGGGGGGGAGATGGGCGGCTGTGACCTCGGCACCCTCCCCTGCGACAGTCCCGAGCGGCTCCGCTCAGATCCGCGGCAGCAGCTTCTCGATGAACTCCTTCACCGCCATCATCTCCTGCGGGGAGCGCAGGGCCCGTCACCCCGGGGGGCCCCAGGGACACCCCAAAGGGTGGGCCCTGCCCTGGGCATGGGGGCACGGGGGCTCTGCAGCCTCCCCGGTGCAAGGTGGGAACAAACACATCCCGTGTGTTTTCCCTGACCCACCCTGGGATGGTCCCAAAGATCCCAAAGGTGATTCCAACCCCTGAGGGTCACAGAATATGTTGAGCTGGAAGGGACTCACAAGGATCATCCAGTCCAACTCCTGGCCCCGCACTGACACCCCAACAATCCCACCCTGTCCCTGAGAGGATCATCCAAATGCTTCTTGAGCTCTGGCAGCCTTGGGGCCGTGCCCACTGCCCTGGGGAGCCTGTTCAGTGCCCAACCACCCTCGGGGGGAAGAACCTTTTCCTGAGATCCAACCTAACCCTGCCCTGGGACAGCTCCAGCCGCTCCCTGGGCCCTGTCCCTGCTCACAGAGAGCAGAGACATTCCCGGGGGGATCCCATCCCCTCCCACAGCACTGACCTGAGGACAGGAACTGTGCATCACGCCGGGGTAGGTTTTGAACTGGACCTTGGTGGGGGTGACGACAGATTTCAGCTTCTCGGCAGTGAGGGCCCCGAAGCGGACGGGGATCATGGGATCCATCTCCCCGTGGCACTGCAGGATGGCAATGTCCTTGTTCACGCCGTTGTTCGCCGCCTGCCGCGAGAAGGGAATGCTGAGGTGTGCCCAGGTGAAGGCATTCCAGCAGGGATGGGGGGCAGTGCTGCATCCCTGTGCCCAACACACCACCCAGCAGCTCAACAGGGCTGTGGGGGAAAGCTGCTGGGAAACTCCGCTCTGGAGAAGTCCAGATGGGAAAATCCCCCCCGCCCCTCCCTGTGGACACGGCAGCACAGGATACCTGTGGGAAGGCCTTGTGGAGCGGGAGCCAGCAGCTGAGTGCCACAATTCCAGCCAGCTGGTGCTGGCAGGTGAGAGCCGTGTACAGCGACAAGGCACCGCCCTGGAGCAGAGGAGGATGGAGTTAGTGCTGGGGGGGGATCCTGGGGCACTCACCCACCTCCTCACCACAGAACATCCCTCTGAGAGGTGTCTTTGGAGGGGAAATTGGGGTCCCAACCCTCATGTTCTCCAGCTCACCTGTGAGAAGCCCCCCAGGATGATGCGGTTGGCGGGGATCCCGTTCTTCATCTCATGCTCAATAATTGCTTTAACTGGAAGAAGACGGAGAAACGGGTCAGTGGAAGGTGGGGAGGGGGTGGAAAGCATCACCTGACACTTCCAGATGCACACAAGACATTTGGCACATCAGGGAGAGGCAGAGACCCCAGGGAGAAAGTGGACTGGGATCACAGAAGGGCAGAGAGGAAGGAGAGGTGGAAGGAAAACACCTGCTTCAGCCCCAGCGAGGGAGAGGAACTCAGAAGCCCACCACTTCCCCCTTCCCCAGGCTTCTTACTGTTTTCTGCAGCTTTCTTGATCCCAGCTTCATCCTCAGGTGCATCCGGAGTCAATCCCATGAGGTCAAACCTGGGAGAAGCAGCAGGGTCAGCCCCAACCTCTCCCAGCACCCAGGGTATGGGGAGGCAGGAGCTGGGTGTGCTTTGCCCTCCCTGACTCCCACAGAGCAGCGGATTTTGGCTCTTCATCCCTCCCACTCCCCAGAAGGGTCCCACCCACCCCTGCCCCCCCAAAGCACTGACCAGGAGGGCATGACCATCTTCATGTTGAGGGTCACTGGGATCCGGGGCCTGCAGAGAAACAGTGTGGGTGGTTTAGCTCAAGGCAGAGTCAAGAGGCACAGGGGGGACTGTCCCTCCTGTCCACAGTTGCAGGACATGACTCCCAAGGGAAAGTGGCAGATCAGGGCCACCAGACCCGGCCCAGGGGCTGCAAGGTGACCCTGGGGATCACCTGCCATCCCTGAGCAGATCCCGGATGAGCTCAAAGCTCCAGGGCACTGCCAAGCAGCCCAGGTGGGGAGCAGAGCACCTGCATCCCTCTCCTGTTTGCTGCTCCCAAGGCCGAGATGGGACATTGGAAAGGGACAGCGGAGCTCTCCCAGCCCAGTGAGTGTCCCCTGCACAGGCTATTGGCACTGGGGACACATCAGGACTGTGTCCTTCCCTTCCTGCTGAGCCCCCTCCTGCCTGACCAGCAGACGGAGAAAGAGCTCCAGTGCCTTTGGCTTTCACTGCAGCCACCAGGGATAAGCAGAGGACAGGAGGGGGAGGAAAAGAGCCTCAGAGCAGTGGCTCCTGTGCTGGTAGCTCTGTGGGGAACCGCTCTGCCTGCAGCAGGAACCGGCCACGGCAGCTGAGCCAGCCTGGCTGTGCAGCCCCATGGGCAGGTCAGGGCTCAGGCCACCATCTGCCTCCCCCAACAAACAGCCCTGGCAGCCTCACGGCCCCCCAAGACCCCCCCCCAGGGCACCCCCAGGCAAGGGCAGCACTTACGCGTGAGGGCAAATGTATTTCACGTAGGGGAGGCGGATGGAGGAGAGAGCGTCGGCCCAGCTGTGCCTGCGAGAGAGGGGAGGGCACAGGGTGTTCAAGGCTTGTCTGAGCCATTTGCCCCAAGGCTTGTGCCCACCCTGCTCCTCCCCTGATGTTATTTTACCAGGTCCTGCCCTCCCCAACAGCCTGATCCCCCTGTGAAGCCCCAGCACTGAGCCCCTGCTGTCGCTGGGCGAGGGCAGCACACAAAGCCCTGGAGCTGGAGGCAGGGAGGACAAGGGGGAGGGGATCTCCTGCAGAGGGAGAAGCGCCTTTGTCACCTCCANGTCTGAGCCATTTGCCCCAAGGCTTGTGCCCACCCTGCTCCTCCCCTGATGTTATTTTACCAGGTCCTGCCCTCCCCAACAGCCTGATCCCCCTGATTCCCCTCTGCGCTGATCCCCCTCTGCATCAGGGCGAGGGCAGCACACAAAGCCCTGGAGCTGGAGGCAGGGAGGACAAGGGGGAGGGGATCTCCTGCAGAGGGAGAAGCGCCTTTGTCACCTCCACACCCCACACTGTCCTCCCTAGGTGGCCTTGCACGCCAGAGATGCCCTGGGCCAGGCACAGCCCAGCTCCCAGCGCTCCCAAGGACTGGAAAAGCCGCAGTGCTTATCAGCAATCCTGAAAGGCAGCACCACCCGCGGGGGGGTGGGGGCTGCCAGGCTGCCGGCATCATAAATATTCAAGTGCAGACAGCTGCCGGCCTCAATTCCCTGTGATTCCCTGCCATTCCCTGTCAGGGAGGTGCAGGAACAGTCATGGACCCCAGCCTAAAGCCCCCCACTGATCTCGGGCTGCCCCTGCCCCGGGGAGAGCAGCAGCAAAGGGCAAAATGCAAACGTCAGCAAAGCCACACGTCCCCAGCAGAGCCTGCTCCAGGGATACTCACCCCGTGTCTCCAAGGCCATGTAGGAAAATGACCTGTCAAACAGCAAAAGGAGAGGATTAGCTGATGTGAGAGTTGGAGCCCTGGGAGAGGGGCAGGGCTGGGCTGGGCTGGGCTGGCAGTGAGGTGGCAAATGGACACTGAGTCACTGCCTAGAAGAGACTCAACTCAGCGATGCTCAGGACACGTCTGTGCTGTTTGGAGCATGAGGGATGGGTGGATCAGGGACATGGCAAAGGCTCAGTCTGAACCGCAGAATGGTTTGTGTTGGAAGGGACCTTAAATGTCATCCACTGCCACCCCCTGCCATGGGCAGGGACACCTTCCACTAGCCCAGGTTGCTCCAACCCGGCCCTGGACACTTCCAGGGATGGGGTAGCCACAGCTTCTCCGGGCAAGCTGTGCCAGGGCCTCCCCAACCTCACAGGGAGGAATTTCTTTTGTGTATCACCAAACACTCATAAACCCATCCCCATGGGCTTTTCATCTGAGGCTACAGAAACCCCTAAGCCATGGGGGGCAGAGGGAAAGCAGCCTGGGCACCCCAGGGAAGGACTGGGAGGGGGTTTTCTTCTAAAAGCTTAAATAGCCAAATCAGCTCCAGCTTCCAAGGCCGAGCTGCGAGGCTGTGTCTGTGCTTCCACACCGGAACATCCCAGCCCAGGGACAGTCACTCTTCCCAAGCAAGGCGAGCCCTTGCTGGCCCTGCCTCCCACTCTGATGAGCTGAGGGACCACAGGCCCGGCTCAAGGCTCCTCTGAACCTCATGGAAGCATCTCCCTGTTTTCCAGCCTCCTGCCAGGAGGGAGGCAGCAGGAGGGGGTCCCTCCCTTACCGCGGCGGTCTCCCGCTCTGCCCCTGAGACGGTCACGGCGTCGGCGAGGAGGGGGACAGACATGTTGTTACCACACATACACCGAGAGGGACTCGACACTGGCACCTGCAGGACACAGGGACAAGGGTGAGGCAGGAAAATAAACTCTTCCCCTCTCTTGTTCCCCCCCCCCAGCAACTATTTGCTGCGGAGGCAGCAGCTGTTTGGGGGAAAATTAAAGGGTAGGTGAAGGCTTTGATGTTTCAAGCCCTCGGGACACCCCACTCCATCCCCTGCCTGGTGGTGCTGGAGAGTCAGGAAGCAGCAAACACTTCCCATGTCACACACTGTGGGGTGCTGGAAGTGTTAAAATTAGCTCAAAAATTACACCTCAGAGCCAAAGTTATTCCTGTGACTGCACCGCCGTGGGCAGAGGGCGCAGCCCCAGCATCCCTTCATTCCTTCATCCCCTCATCCCTGCCAGTGGAGCCATGGAGGAGCCTGACCCACATCTGCTCTGACAGGGAAGCAGGAAATGCCAGCAGCAGCACAGGGTTTACTGCACTAAAAAAGGTCCAGCCCTGTTTTATGGAGCTTTTTTAGGGATAAGCCGGAGCACTGGCAGCTGGCCTGAGCCCCAGCCCCTCCTGGAGCTGTGCCCCCCCAGTGATGGATAATATCCTTGTCTTGCCCTGTGACTGCAGCCAAAGCCACCACCACTGTCCCCACTGCCACAGTGTCCTGCCAGCACCAAGGGCTGTCACCTCCCAGATCCCGGGTTCAGCAGGGTTGACAGCTCCCACAACAGTCCATGGTGTTTATTCCCAGCTCCTCACATGACCCCGCTGACCCACCAGGACTAATTAGATCAGAGCTCATTTACAGCACTGCCATCATCCCCCAGGAGCAGGATCAGCCTCCCAGAGGAAGATCACAGAATATCCTGAGTTGGAATGGACCCACAAGGATCATCCAGCCCAACTCCTAGCCCTACACTGACACCCCAACAATCCCACCCTGGCCCTCAGAGCGTTGTCCAAACACTCCTTCAGCTCTGGGGCTGTGCCCACTGCCCTGGGGAGCCTGTTCAGTGCCCGACCACCCTCTGGGGGAAGAACCTTTTCCTGAGATCCAACCCGACCCTGCCCTGACACAGCTCCAGCCGTTCCCTGGGTCCTGTCCCTGCTCACACAGAGCAGAGATCGGAGCTGCCCCTCTGAGGAAGCCGCAGAGCCCACAGCCTGCTCCAGCCTCACATCCCACGGCAGCACCATCCCCGGCACGGTTCGGATCACCCAAACCTTCCCCAGAACCGCGGTGTCCCAGCAGACATCCTTACCCAAGAGAAACAGCCTCCTCCTCTCCCAGCCCGGGCCAAAGACCTGCCTGACTCGTTCGCCCGACTGCTCATCAGCCGCTTCCCGGCTCCAATAAAAACACCGGGAAACAACCGGCTCCCCGGATCTGACACAGACACGCGGCCCACGTGCTCGTGTGTGTGTACTCCAGGGGCAAAACAACCAGCCAGGAGGAGCAGCGGCACCTGCCAAAAATCCTGGCGACAGGAGCCATAAATAAAAGCATCTCTAAAAAATCCTGGCAGACGGAGCCGCTCCCCCGGGCAGGCTCAGCCCTCACGGCTCTGCCTTGCTGGGGGGGGGCTCGGGGGAAAGGAAGGGCTGGTCAGAGCTGCCCCAAACACCCCGTGGGGACACCCGGGAATGCCCTGCGAGGGAACACGACACCGGGAGCGGCGGGAACACGACACCGGGAGCAGCGGGAAGGACAAAGCCCCACAGCCCGCGTGGGTGTGGAAGCATCACCACAGCGATACGGGGGGTGTGGGGGGGAGCCGGGTCCGACTGGGGCTGGTTAAAGTGTGGCACCCGCACTGACACACACAGCCCCCCCCCGCGACGCTCATTAGGACGGGGCGCAATTAGCGTTTATTAGCGTTAATAATTACGGCGGCCCAGCCGCTCGCTCGGGCCCGAGAGAAACGAATCCCGCCTGGAAGCGGATGCAGTGGAGGCGGGAGCCGGCCTGACCTGCCCCGGCCGGGGCGGGAGCGCCGCTTTTCCCTGGAAAACAGGGATTTTCGGAGAGGCTTTTCCCGCTGTGACTCCTGAAGGCTCGCAGGGGGTGGGTTTGGGGGGCGGGAAGCGGGTGGCCCCGCTACGGGAGCCAGAACCGCGGCCCCTCGGATCCCCCTCCCCCGTTAACCCCCGTGAGGGGGCCCCGCCGACCCCCCCCCCATCCCCGCGGCCCTCACGGCTCTCCCCCCCCGCGCCCGCCGCAGTGGTACATCCCCCCCCCCCGGTTTTCCCGCCCGTCTCCCCCCGCCCCCCCCCGGTGGTACGCGCCGCCCCCCCCATCACCTCTCCCGCGGCCCGGCGCGCGCGCTCCTCGCGGCTCTCCCCCCCCGCCTCGCGCCGGAACTTCCGCCGGCGCGGCGCGAAGTGACGTCACGCGGGAGCGACGACGGCGGGGAGGCGCCGCGGCGGCCATGACGGAACCGGGCACCGGGAGACACCCCCGCGACAGCCGCACTCAGGGACAGCGCACAGCTCTGCACCTCAGCGTGTTTATTGCCCGCCACAGCCCGGCCCGCGGGCAGCGCCTCACACACGCGGCCCGGCCGCGCCTGTCCCGACACGTGGGGCTGGATGTCGTGTCCCGGGAGCCGCCCCGTCCCAGCCCTCAGGAGATGAAGTGTGTCTGAGGCGTGATCTGCTCCAGCTTGTGGTCGGCGGGGTTCGCGGAGGCCTCGTAGTTGCAGATGGTGACCTCGTGGCGATGAGCCTGGGTGGAGATCGGGGCTGTTACGTCCAGGGGGAGCGGGATTCCAACCCGCCCTCGGGCCCCCCGCACCGCTCGAGGCTCTGTCCCACCACCAGAATTTGACTTAATCGATGATTTCGAGCCCTTCGCACCCCCCTGGCTCGGGCTTGTCCCTCTCTGCCCTCACTCACTTCTGTCCACTCCCCCTTCAGGCCGATGTAAAAGATCTTCGTTGTCTCCGCCCCGAAGTTCTTTGGGAAGTGCATGGAGAGGTGGTAAACGTTGGAGAAACGGGCAATTCTGGAAGGAAACACACCCTGAGGCCGGAGCTGCCACTCCAGCACAGCCCCACAGCCCCACTCCAGCTCCCCCTGATCCCACTCGGACTTGGGATCAAACATCTGAGGTGCAGGAGGAGCTGCTCCCTCACACCGTGGGTCAGCAACGAGCTGTCACAGGGCCCAGGGACAGGGGACAGGACACCAGGGTGATTCTGCACCCTCAGTGATGCCTTCAAATCTATATTATATGAATTTTAGTACAGCTTTAGCCTGCTAGTACCTCTGTACAAAATTCTTAAAAATACCTCTTAAATATTCCTTGTTAAGAATTTAAGGTAAAATATAGATTTTAAGGCATCACAAGAAGCCCTGGGGCACTGGAACTGCCACCCCCAGGCTCCAGGGAGGAGGTTTCAGGCCAGAGCTCCAACCTGGCAAGGGCAGGACAGAGCTGGAGAGGCGAATTCTGCCCTGGGCTGACACTGCCCTAAATTTGGCAGCACGTGGGCAGGCTGGACTGAGCTCCTGTGGCAGGGAGGAGCAGCCCCCAAACCCTCAGGGTGTGTCTCTCACTTGGTGGGATACTCCAGCTCGCCCAGGGGGTCCCGGTTCAGGCTGAAGGTCTGCTCTGCTTCCCTGGCTGTGTCATCAAAGGACATGTGAGGAATGTTCCTGAACCTGGGGAGACAGGAAGGAAACCCAGGGAGTTGTTAACAGCAGGGCAAGATAATTGTTTGCCTCCCCATCCATTAGCACTGCCCACATTCTTCTCGAGGAGAAGCTGAATTGACTTTGTCCTCTCACATCCCCACAAAAAATCACCAGAAAACAACAAAAGGCTGAAGAAATAACATGGAAAAGCATGGGACAAAGCTGGGGAGATGCAGATCTCTCTTGGGTACATGAGGGAGCCCAGATATTGGAGGAAAACAGGGGAAGCTGGGTGCCACACAGCAGGTAATTCCAGCTAAAATTCAGGACCAGCACTTGGGCTGTGCATCTCCTTTGTCCCTCGGAGCACAACAACAGGACCAGGTGCAAGGTGAGCCCAGCAGGGCTTCACATCCTCTCTGTGGGACACACAGGACAATGTTGGCTGTTTTTCCCCTCAGAAGGTGTGTTTTTCCCCTCAGAAGCAGGAACTGCAGAGCACTCAACACTCTTGTTAAAATAAGAAAGAAGGAGTGTAAAGAAGGATCTGTCTCCCTTCAGGAGGGAGAGAGACAAAGAGGCCACGTGGCTCGGCACAGCAGGAGCCTTACAAACCTCACCTGGCTGCAGGATACTGTCACTTCTCTTCACACTCCCTCCTTCCCACTGCTCAGAGCTCCCCTCAGGACCCTCTGACCCACCCCACTGAGCCCATGGCAAGTTGCCTCCTCACAGTGCAGAGCCAGTGTCTGAACCAAATATTCTAACTCAAACCAGCCCCTCATTTCTCTGGAGAAAAGGCAGCACTCATCCCACACAAGCTGCAGTTTATTTTCCCTCTTGGGTCCTTGGGATGACCAGGCAGCACAGCACCAGAGCACAGCCCTCAGTGGTGCCTGGGCACAGCGTGAGGGTGCTCAGCTCAGCTCAGCTCAGCTCAGCTCCAGAAAGGTGAAAAGCTGGTTTTACTCACAGCCTCATCTCCGCCGGGTGCGTCCCATCGTCCTCGCCCATCACAAGGACTCCTTTTAACTTCACGCTGCCTGTGAACCTGCCCAGACACACAGAGCACCGTCTGCACCTCCAGTCTCTCCAAAATCAGCCCCTGTTGGAGGGGCACACGCTGTGCCTCGTCACCAGGGGAGGAACAAGGGGTGGTGGAACTTACGGGATGTTAAACAGCAGCTCCTCGTCGTCATCGCTTTCCACGAACTGGGAAGAGAAGGAAGAGCAGGTCAGGACTGGGGCTGGTGGAGGGAGCAGGGGGACAGGCAGGGGGGTCACCCCAGAGGGGCTCAGGGGCACAGCAGCACCTCCCTCACAGAGTCACAGAGTATTTGGGGTTGGATGGGACCTCTGGAGATCACCCAGTCCAAGCCCCCTGCCCAGGCAGGGTCGCCTGGAGCAGGTGACACAGGGACGTGTCCAGGTGGGTCTGGGATGTCTCCAGAGACTCCACACCCTCCCTGGACAACTGTTCCAGGCTCTGCCACCTCCATGGAAAGGCGTTCTGCCTCAGGTTGAGGTGGAACTTGTTGTGTTTTAGTTTATGGCCATTGCTCCTTGCCCTGTTGCTGAACAGAGTCTGGGACCATCCTCTGACACCCCCTGGAGATATTTGTATGGATTGACGAAATATTTATGTGGATTTATGGGTCCCCTCTGAGCCTTCCCTCCTCCAGACTGACCAGGCCCAGCTCCCGCGGTGTCTCCTCATCCCAGAGATGCTCCAGACCCCAAATCATCCCTGCGGCCTCCACTGGACGCTCCCCAGCACCTCCTCCTCTTTCCTGCACCGAACAGCCCAGAACTGCCCGCATCGCTCCAGATGCGCCCGCCCAGCCCCGAGCCGAGGGGCAGCACCCAGGACCCCCCTCCCTGCCCTAGACCCCTCTCTCACC